AGCAATTCTTGTTTTATTGATTATATGTCTGTGCTAATTCAGACCATCAAAAATTTTTAAATGCCACTTTTCTATGAAATTGGAGCTTAAATTTTGTACATATATGTCTGTGTATGTATGTGTGTGTGTCAATAGATAGAATTAATGATATAACTAAAGTTTCTTGATCTTTGTTTTCCCATGACAAATGAAATCACATTTTCCAAGCTTTTCTCTTTAAATTTACCCAAAGAAATGAAACTCTGAGCCCCTACTTGATTTAAAACTCCAATTATACTAGTGTTCGATAATTGATAATTTCCTGATAAATTACATTGAATGTATATTGAATGTTGTAAAAATTTCTCCTTTCCAAAGTGATTAAGCTTCTCTGTATTTTAACATTCATCTAAAAAAATTTTTAAACTTTTGACACATTGAAATTAAACCAATTTAAAGACCCAGACAAGTTTAAAGATCTAGATCAGATTGAACTAATTTAAAGACCATTTCAGAAGAAAAAATCATTGTGATACCTTTGGTTTTAAGAAAAAATGGTACAAGCTTGTGTCTTGTTAAGTAAAAAGTGAAATATGGTCTGCCATAATACATTTCTACCTTTTTTATTCTTAAGGACCAAGGAGGGGGTTCCATCAACTATGGTTATTAGTATTAGGCAATGCAAATCAAAGCACATTTTGTTTTAAAGACCTTTATTTAAAAGAGTATTGTAAGGTATTTTCACCACTTAAAATGTTTACTCCCGACATGATTTCCATCTTAATCTACACAAGAAAATGTTTTATATTTTTTAGCTTTGCATCAACACCCAAATTAAGTAAAAAATGCCATTTTTAAAGATGAATTTACCATAATTTTCTCTTTATTGAAAAATATATCCCATCTACTTCTGGGCCTCATTTTTTTAATGTGGAAAAGGGGAACTGTTCTAGAGCATCTCTAACGACATCTCTTTCAGCAAATTCTACACTCCTGTATCCTATGTGGTGTTTCTACATAGTGAAACTTAATTTCTAATATATGCAATTATGCTTAATATAATTTCTATAAGGGCCTCCATAAGGTTCTTTGGACTTGACTTCCTATAAAGCTTTGGGACAATAAATATAGTCAACTCTTGATTATCCCTGGGACTGAATGGGATAGAAAAAGTAGTCTAAAAGTTATTTACAATTGTTCCATAAATACACTCATCTCTGTAATCATCACATCTCCCCTATTCAACCTAAAGGTCAGTTATATACAATCTAGCTGGAATATCAGGATAAGAAGACTGTAGATAATACAAAAGCAATTAATTGGTAGTTGACTGTTAGTATCTTTTTTATTGAAACACATACAAAATATAGTGGGGCTCCCAGTTAGTGTTAATGGAAGCAAGTCAAAGCAATCCTATACTCTAATCCTAAAATTTCATTGTCTCCTCCCAAAAAGTGCGGAGTTTTTAAAAACTGAAATTCTAGAAGACTTTAGAGTTCCTAGGCAAAGCTGGCTGTTTGACACCAGTTCAACTTCATGACTATGTATATATACCAGTTCAACTTCATGACCATATGTATTATACCTTAACTCTGGATGTCCATCTTGCAAAAGCTTGACCCTGAATACAAATGTAAATGGGCAAGCATGTGTACATGGAGAGGGGAAAAAAAAACTCCCAATGCCACTTCTAGCAAAACTACTGGGAACTTACACCCAGTTGAATCAAATGACCAAGTTAATGAATCTTATAGTTCTATCTACCATTTTAAAAATGAAATAGAAAAGGAAAAGAGCCTGGAGGGGTCTTTCTCCTAGTAAATTGACAATTGCAGGTAAAGGGGTAAAAAAAAAAAAGACAGCTTCACACACGTAGAAAAAACAATGGCTAAGAGGACAGGCCAGTGGCTTTGGAGCTTTTCTTGAGGCTTCCACAGAGCCACTCAGAATAATATCATCTTTGTGTATAAAGGATGTCACAGTCTGAGCTCCAGGCCTGAGGCATGAATCTGCAATACCTACCTCTAGTATGGCAGCTATTAATTATGTCAACATGACAAACAGTAATTTAAAACAAGTATAGCAAATATATAATTTTTCATAAAGTGACAAACATTATTAGCCAAGTCATTAGCTAGGTAATTCCCAGTCACTTAGAAAAATCCCAGTATTTAGAATACAATTTTTTAAATGAATGTTTAAAAATTTGGTACATGTAATCGGATAATACTTAAAATAATTTTTCTTTTCAAAAAAGAAAAAACTATAGTAGTCAAGAGATTGGGGCAGCTAGGTGGTACAATAGATGGAGCACCAGCCCTGGAGTTGGGAAGATCTGAGTTCAAAATGGCTTCAGACACTAGCTATGTGACCTTGGGCAAGTCACTTAACCCCTATTTGCCTTAGTTTCTCAACTGTAAAATGGGAACAACCTGCAGAAAGAAATGGCAAATCATTTCAGTTATCTTTGCCAAGAAAATAGACAGAGTCAGAAGCAACTGAACAATAAATTAAGAGATTGGATTTGATGATCACTAAGGTCTCTTCTAACTCTAATGATAAATTTCTGATTAATCTCAGGTCAAAGAACCAAAAGAATGTTGCCAGATATTTATACATAGCAGACCCTTTGCTCTTTCTCTAGTCTAGAAGCTTCACCCTCTGCACTTTATATAATTCGGAGACTGAACCTACACTACCTCAGGGCTCCAGAGGTGCCATTATTCCTCTACTGGCTGATGCATGGATTCTAGTCTTTTATCACATTTTGCCCCCCTTGAAGTTTCAATCTCTGCCCTGAAAAGCCATACCCAAGGACAAGAAATAAATATTTTCTCCATAGCAATGACACTGGAAAAGGACCACCATTCTGGGTAGCTCCATGAAAACCTCAACAAAAATTTCACCACTTACCTGCAGTTCTCAGTTGACTGGAAGGAGAAAGACCCCTCCAGGCCTTTTTCCTTGTCTCTTTCATTTTAAAAGTGGTAGACAGGATTATAAGATTCATCAACTAACTTGGCAACTTGGGGTATCAGTTTGGGGCATTAGGGTAAGGGACTGAAAACTTAGGGATGTATGTTTCCAGTCCAAGGGCTAAAATAAAAGATATCCTATATCCTTTTATGGATACATTTTCAGGCCCCTTGTGCTTGGGAAACTGCTAAAGCGAACATGGAATTTATATTCTTCTCTGTACACTGTATAGCTGTCTTATTCCTCATCCTCCCACTCCCCTCACCTCTCTGATGATTGTAAACACCTTAAGAGCACGGACTATGTCAACCTTCTTTGTATCCCCTGAGTTACCTTGCACATAGTAAATACTCAAATATTGCTTATTGAATCAAATTGGAAAGTTTTGGAGTAGATCATTGTTGAACTGTTTACCTAAGAGTTCTAGAAAAAATGAAACATTTGGAGCTTTGTGCTGTTCCAGGCTAAAGTCTCAGATATTTTTTCTGGATGTTTGTGGGCTTTAAAATATGCTCTCTATGTCGTGTAGCTAGTGATTAAAGATTCCTTTTTCTAGTGATGGATCAGATGCTACTGGCATGTCATTAGATATACTTTCCCAGCCTGCTGCAGTAAGTGTGGGCTGGTGTAAACAAGAGCTAACAATTAAAACTTGAAATTAGATTTGGGGCCCATCTATCAGTTTAAGGGAAGGAAGAAAGCATCTTTACTAATAGTTGGCCAGTTGGCTCTCTTTAACCAGTCCACAGCTCAGGGTAATGGTAGCTGCTGGCTTCAAGAACTCCCAGATTCCCTCCTCTTTGTTTTTACATTTTTGATGTGTGTTAGAAGAAATCTTTTAGCTTTTTGTTGAAGGACATTTTCTCTTTTATTCATGGAAGGCATTGTAGAGAATATCACATCCCAACTTCTTTCTGCAGCATCAGTTTGGAGAATAAAAAATACTTATGTTTAAGGTACAACATTACCTAACAACAAATAGTAAGTAAGACTGCTGATGAGCAAATCTAAAGCTCTCATCCTTGAGCAAATACAAAGGGGAAAGCTGCAAGAAAGGGTAATCAGCAAAACTCTCTAGAGGTGTTTTCAGAACTAAGGGGCCACAGCAGGACAAAATCCAATGCCAGGTAATGTGTCAATGGTAATAACTTCCATTTTAAGAACAAAAATAAAGTCATCAAGCACAAGGAGGCAGTATATATAATACATTCTCAAAAAAGGACAAAAATGTAGCAAGAGAAGAGAAAATCAGCATCCCACTAAAAGGGAATATTAAAGTTTTAAAAAAAAACCTATAATATGCTATCACTCTCTCAAAATAATTCCTTGAATGACAGATGGAAAAAGGTTCATGCATTCCCCTGACTATAGCCAATGATAAAGACAAACTATGCTAGCAATAAGAACTAGACACCACACCCATAAACAGATAAGCAACAGTGTCTTTCCTCCTGGTACTGACAAATTAGCAAAGATTCTTTAGAAACCATCAGATATCTGTAGTCCTTACCCCACTGGAACTATTCTATTCTGTCATTAGATAAGAAATTATTCTCAGCAAAATTCTCTTCTGGTTTTTAAGTATCTGCAATAGTTCAAATAAATGATGTCTTGGCTCTGACATTAATTAGCTATATGATTTTCAGCAATTCATTTAACAACTGCTTTGGGGCTTCACTTTGTAAAGGGGGGAATTGGATCATATGACCTTTCTCTTTTTTAGCTCTAAAATTCTTTAATTCTATGACATGTCAATAATAGATCACTATCACTTAATTGGTAATACATATAGTTTGGGCTTATGTACTGTCTAGTTCTGTGACAACTGCAGGAAAGAATATCTTGGTGAATTTATTCCATAGTTAATAGCAAAGGCTGATTGTGGTATTTACACAATAGAAAACTTATGACCAATTTCCTAAAACAGACTTTCATCTGAGGAATGGTAAGTCAGAGGAAAGTGGATATATAATACTTAAATACACTTATACCTAATAAGTAAATATTTATAATTTATAAAAACATTTATAAATACTTAAATACATTATCTAACCCTCAGAAGAGGGCTAACTAGAGCTAACTAGGGAAAGGTCACATTCTGTTTTAGTGAAAAATTGAAAAAAAATCTTAAGTTTAAAAAAAGATGTAAATTTTAGTAAATTTTGAAATGCATTCAAAACTAGATTTAGAGTAACCCACTGCTGTCAAAACAGGTTCAAATAAAAACTCATTTCTCATGAACAGACATGATAGTTTAACTGCCATTTCAACTGTGATGTGGATGCTTCTAAGGTAGTTGAGAGTTCTTGAATATATGAGTGTGTTCTCATAAACAGTTTAAATATTTTCCCTACAATAATTTACTTGCTTAGCAAGACTTTTCTTCATAGATGGCACAAACTTCAGCCCAAGCCTGTGGAAATGATCACAAATTCCAAATTAATGAAATTCTTTTACTGAGTTTCCTTTTTTATACAACTTACCCTCTTTGTTGTTGTTCAGTTGTTTCAGTCATGTCTGACTCTTCGTGACCCTATCTGGGGTTTTCTTGTCAAAGATACTGGAGTGGTTTGCCATTTCCTTTTCCAAATCACTTTAACAGATGAAGAAATTGAGGCAAACCGGGTTAAGTGACTTGCCAAGGGTAACACAGCTAATAAGTGTCTGAGGCTAGATTTGAATTCAGGTCTTCCCAACTCCAGGCCTTGTGTTCTATCCACTGTACCACCTAGCTGCAACTTATCCCCTATACAAATTATGCCTCAAGTTATTTTATATAAACAAAGTCACATTTCTAGGTTCAAATTCTATCTGCAAAAAAAGCTTCCTGCAAATTATATTTTCTGATTTCTATTGTGTTCATCTTTCACATGACAGAAATATTTGGGGCTTAGGTTAACTAATGGAGATTTTTATCTCTGTAGTCTAAGAAATGAACCTGAGGGTAAGCATCATTAGAAATTAAGAAAATTCTAGTTTAACAAAAACTATCCCTTTACATGAAGAAAATGTAAAAAAGCTGATCTATATTTCTTGGTAAGACAACTTCTGCTTTGACCACAAACATTGCTCTGCATTTAAACAAGGCTTTAACCTGGAAAAAACTGGCTGCTTTATTTGTCACTTGGGAGGAGCACAGACTAATATTCCTTTAGTTTTATACTAGCTATACAGCCATACTGTTCAGTATTCTATGAAGTTTAGGAGAGGAGCTAGGTTAAATTAAAAACAAACAAACCCCCCCTTTGAAACCCAGATAATATGTTTTAGCAGCTGCTGCTGAGAAAACAGATTGCTGGTTTCACTCCCTACGTGTTTTTATTAAATAGAAAGGCATTCTCTGTCTTGGCAACAGCAAGCAAAAGCCATTTCTTGGGAGATCTCAGAACTTTTCTTTGTTTATTTCTACAATATGTATTTGTAAATCCCTTGTCTTCTTTTTAACACTGGAGAACTACACTGCTTTGTGAGTGGCTAAATAGCCTACTTCCAACTGGGGTGCCAAGTCTTCTTTGGGGGTAGAATTCACATTTCTCACATATGTCTGGTCTCTACAGTCACGTGGCCACCACCCTAATTCAGGCTCTCATCACCTCTTGAGTGTTTGATAGTTATTTTCCCAATTGATCTCCTGCTTCAGCTCTTTCCTCTCCAAATCACTGTACACACAGCTGCCAGATCAATATTCCTATAGCACAGATCTGATCATCTGTTTATGTATCCTGGAATTCTTCCCTGCTAATGAGCTCCCTATTGCCAATAGGATTATCTACAGACTCCTCAGTTGGACATTTTAAAGCCCTTTACAATCTGTCTCAAACCCATTTTTTTTCAAACCTTATTATACATTACTTCCCTTCACATCTATAGCAAATCAGTCAAATTGTATGTCGTTTCTTACCCACAACCCCATCCTTGGCCTCTGGGTCTTTGCAAAGGCTCTTTCTTAGATGCCTAGAATGTCTTTTTTCTTCATGTTGGCTTCTTAGAACCCTGGCTTTTCTCAAAGCTCAGCTCAAATACCACCTCCTACAGGCAGAATGCCTTTCCCAATTCCTCCTTCCCGTCTTCTCCCAACCACCTCGTTTTTTTTAATCAGCTGTGGTTTTATCAGAATAGGAAGCTCCCAATGATGGAGTAAACATAGCCAGTGCAGAGCAGCACCTGCTTTGCCATTTGAGTTGCCTGGGGCACTAAGGTGAAGTGTCTTGCCTAGGGTCCCCTAGCCAGTATATATTAGAGGTGGGGCTTTAATCCAAGTGCTCTTGACTCCAAGGCCATTTCTATATTCACTGTGCCACCACACAGATCCCCAGATGACCTTGCATTTACCTTCTCTCTATTTGGGTAGATGTGTACCTCTGGGAATATAAAGTAAGCTCTGTAATGGCAGGCGCTTTTTGACTCTTGTCTTTGTATTTCTTTTGTGTGGGCAGCTAGGTGGCTCAGTAGACAGAACACCAGGCCTGGAGTCAGGAAGACTCATCTTCCTGAGTTCACATCTGGCCTCAGACACTGTGTGACCCTGGGCAAGTCCCTAACCCTGTTTGCCTCAGTTTCTCATCTGTAAAATGAGCTGAAGAAGGAAATGGTAAACCACTCTAGCATCTTTGCCAAGAAAACCCCAAATGTCATCACAAAGCATCAAACATACTCAACATCTGCAATGACCATAAAACTGTGTATTCCCAACAGACACAATGCCTGGAACACAGGACTGACTTAATAAAAGTTTCTGGATTAGTTGTGAAGGGGAAAACAGATACAATGTTTATTACTAATAAAGCACAATTACATAATAAGGCATTTGGACTAGAAGTTACCAAATACACAGGACACCACATCCTCAGTATACATAAATCATAGGTTTTAGAGTTAGAAAGGACTTTCAGATATCACTTAGTTCAACTCTCTTATTTTATGGTTGAAGAAATTTAAGCCCAGAGAGAGGAAGGAACTTGTCTAAGGATACACAGGCAGTAAATAGCCCTTGACAATTGAGAATTTGAACCCAGATAATCTGACTGTAAATTCAGTGCTCTTGCCACTAAGCCACGATGTCCAATATACATACCTTCCTTATGTACCAAAAGATCACCTGTAAGCAAGCCCATCTTTTCACATTCCCACTCCCCTACCCCCCTCTCCCTGCTTGATTGAAGGATCCAACCACCCCTCACTGAAAACCTCTTTACCCCAGGCCCGGAGCCAGGAGTGAATAGGAAAGAGAGAGGGGAGATAAGGGCAAATGCTAATGGAAAATTCTCCCCACTCTTACAGCTGCCAACACTGGTCTTAAAGATGCCATTTCCATTCTCCCTTATTTGCTCTCCTAGGTAGTATTCTAGGCAATAAAACAAGGCAAACAAAAAATAACTACCACCCTTCCTTTATCACCGGGACAAGATAACAGGATCACAGAATCTCTAAGTTAGAAGAGATCTAGTCCAAGCTGGACTTGAAGAAGTCTTTCTAAAGATACCAGATAAGTCATCTTCCTGAAGATATATGGTTCTTGAGAACCATTATCTCCCAGGGCAGTATATTCCATTTTGAGATAACGCTAATTGTTGGAAAGTTTCTTTTTCTTCTTATTACTCATTGTTCCTATTTGTTCTGCCTTTTAAGGCCAGTGGAACAATTATAATCCATCATTCTCACGACATCCAATCCAATACTTGGAGACAACTATCATGAAGACATTGGAGACTAGTGAACAGCAGTTGCCCTTGACAGAAATGCTTATTGGGAGTTTCTGAAGTAATGGCAGAGCTGGACATAAAGAATCATGTGCTTATAGGTGACTCTTGAAATTTGGTGACTAGATAATAAGCATTTATTTTATTAAAGGGCTTACTCTTGTGCCAGGCAGTATGACTATTTGAGATGAATAAAGTGAGAAAAATATAGAGGGATAAGAGATAAGAGGATATAAAGGCAGAACAAATCTAAGGGTTTGGGAAAAAGAGACAAGGAAGAAACAGTTAAAGACAAAAGAAGAGAATCAGTATGATATAGTCAAAAGAACACTGACTTGGAATTAGGGACATGGGTCTGACTCCTACCTCAGATCTTCATTAGGCATTTAACTTCTTTGAGCCTTAGTTTTTCATCTAGAAAATGGTGACAATATTTGTACTTTTTTTTTTAAGAAGAAATGGGAAATAGAGATCTGAATTAGTCTAGCCATCCTGAAAAACAATTTGGAATTATGCAAAAAATCACAAGTGATTAAAATATCTATTCCTTTTGACCCAGAAATCTTACTGCTTTGACCCAAGGCAATCAAAGACAGAGAGTTCCTTTATTCTTAGCAATATTTTTTGGTATCTAAGAATTCAAAACTAAGTAGATACACATCAATAGGAAATGGCTAATCAGATTGGGATACATAAATGTAATGAAATGTCACTGTGCAGCAGGAAAATGTGAAATTAATAATTCACAGAAACTTGAAAAGACATGAAATGAGTCAAAGTAAAGTAAGTAAAGCCAGGGAAAGAATACATACAAAGATTGCAACAATGTAAATGGAAAGAACAGCAACAAAAAATGAAACAGAAAGCTATGTAACTATAATGACCAAAGTTGGCCCTGAAGAAGAAAATTTTAAAATGCTCCTCCTACCTTTCCTTGTAGAGAAGGAGGACTATGAGTGTGGAACATGGCATCTTCTTTCTGAATGTTGATATATTAATTTTGCTGAATCACTTTTCCCCCTCTTTATTCTGTGTTACAAGGGATGTATTGATGTACGGGAGGAGTGTGGAAAAAGAACATATTAAGAAATAAGAGTGACATAAAAACAGAAGATAACAAAACATTTTTAAAGGAATAGTAGATCAGCACAAACAGAACAGTATGTACAGTGACTACAAGTGTAGGAAGGAGAAAAAGAACAAGACACAGGGCCAAGGCTGGTGGAGCTTGGGGCAGGCCTAGAACCATAGAACAAAAGCCTTTTCTTTTCCTATTTGTCATTTAATACATTTGGTCCTATCTTATTAAAGGCTGAAAGTGTAGAGTTAGATTTTACCTCCTGTTTTTTAATGTTTATTTGATTGTTATTCAAGGTTAAATTTATAATTTATTTTTAAGAAAGAATATAAATAGACACTGAACTTGGGTTTTCCTGGGAAATACTGATAACTTTTGTTTTATTTCTCTGTGCCCTAAGACCGACTGTTATGTCCTCCATGGTCTTTCTGTATTCAATCAATTCACCAACAAGCATTTGTTCATTGCTAATACACACCATACACCCTTCTAGGCAATGGGATTAAGGACAAAAGTGAAAACAGTTTTTGCTCTCAAAGCTTACAATGTAGCCAAGAGAGACAGCAAATATACATACACACATACATATACACATACACACATATGTATACATATATTTTTTTACACACACACACA